ACACCTAACATACGCACATACATACGCACCAACATTCCTCTGTCTATGAACAGACGTATTCACTATTGTATTACTTTTGTATGTAAATAAATATAGAAGAAGAACAGAGCGCACATCACAGGGCCCCCACTCTTTTGTGAGAAATCTCTTGACACCAACAAAACCCCATTTACCACACTAAACCAAAAGTTGCAGTCTGTTTTCCATTTACACTAGTTGGAAAGGTTTTTTGCATTTGCAATGCGAATAAACCTCTGATCTCTAAAGGAAACTGATGGGAGATTTGCATTAGACCGACTGACACTGGCTCTGCATTCACTGCTCTGATATGAATTACCGGCTGTGCTTGGTGTGGAAACATTAGCAATCAAAAGCGCACGCCCATTTATCATTGTAAAATATCAATTTTCTCTTATTAGCAAACATGTGTTGTAGAAAACATAACTCCTTTAGTGTTAGCAGTGAAAGCTTTGATGAAGGGAGAGGAACTTCTGCCATGTCAAGTTTAATAAAATGATAAAATAAAAATGAATGCCTAACCCTGACCCTTACCCTAAACCTAACCATAACGTAATTGTAACCATCCATCCATCCATCCTCATCCGCTTTATCCAAGGCTGGGTCGCGGGGGCAGCAGCCTAAGCAAAGAGGCCCAGACCTCCCTCTCCCCAGCCACCTCCTCCAGCTTATCTGGGGGAACTCCAAGGCGTTCACAGGCCAGCCGAGAGATATAATCTCTCCAGCATGTCCTGCATCTGTCCCGGGACAGACCCCTTCAGAGGAAGCTCTGCCGCTTGTATCCGCGATCTCGTTCTTTTGGTCACTACCCACAGCTCGTGGCCATAGGTGAGGGTAGGGACGTAGATTGACCGGTAAATTGAGAGCTTCGCTTTTACACTCAGCTCCCTCTTCACCATGACGGACCGGTGCAGCGTCCGCATTACTGCAGCTGCAGCCCCAATCCGTCTGTCGATCTCCGGCTCCCTCTTCCCATCACTCGTGAACAAGACCCCGAGATACTTGAACTCCTCCACTTGGGGCAGGAACTCATCCCCGACCCGGAGGGGCACTCCACCCTTTTCCGGCTGAAAACCATGGCCTCAGATTTGGAGGTGCTGATCCTCATTCCCGCTGCTTCACACTCGGCTGCGAACCGTTCCAGTGCGAGCTGGAGGCCCTTACCCGATGAAGCCAACAGAACCACA